TCTGTTTCTGTTTAACATTTGGGCAAATGCCCAGCTCAGAACTTCATCCCATTGCTAAGACACACTGACCTCACCCTACTGCCAGCTCTGCTGTTGTAGTGTAAGATCGTGCCTGAGCAAGATTTCATTTGAAGTTTTGAGCATAATTAAGAGATTTTTATTTATTTATAGGCCTAACTTTTGCCATTCCTATGATGTAAAAAAAATAGTATCCCGTAGAGAAATAGCTTTTGTAGGTAACAGTGGGGACAACTGTCACTCCTTTTGTATTACTCAGCTTTTGAAATATAATCAGCAGTTTCTAGGAATATGGAAAAGAAGAAAGCCTACCTTTTCACTGGCACTGTCTCCATTGGAAGGCTTAGAAATATCCTTTCTTTTAGTGTCTGCAAGTTCCTTGCTTGTCATTCACACAAATGAGAAGAGACAGAAATCCTGTGAGAATAGGTCTGTGCTCGGTGCAGGGGGTAACGGCAAATGCTGAGATCCTACCTTTCCGTGCTCTCATCTGCTAGATTTGCGTCCATCTCTGGTTTCTTCAACTTGAGCTTGACAAGAGCCTTATTGCAACTCTGAAAACAGGCAGGGAAAGTCGGGAGTGTTAATTGGCTTGCGTTTAACCAGCAACGCTTTTGCACAAGGACTTGAATGCGAGGAACAAACTGTCACCATAATGTCTTGGCAATTAAACAGAAATCCCACCAGTCCATCATTTTGTTCCCTTAGCTCAGCTCAGAGAACTTACCCTGCTCTATCTCAAATCTGTCATGAAATCCCTGAAGGTAATAGCCAGTGAAATCCAGTAAGAGTTTGTGTTTTCAAATATATTCAGTTTAATCTTGCTGTAGTCCAGGATAAGTAGGAGAATGAGCTTGGCTGGGGGAATCTAAGCTGTGCTGCTGCTGACCAGACTAGGCTGTATCCTGGACAAGAATTCTGCTAGGCTTTGCAGAAGCAACCTAACTTGTGTCTGTGCCACTCATCAAATCCTACAGGAACATTTCAGGTAGACACAGCTGCCAGCCCTCCTCTAGAGCGTGGTCAGTGCAGGCCAGCTTGGAGAAACACAATTTGAACGTGCAGGTCTCTCATCCCACACCTATCTCAATGTTATTTATCTCACTGGTGATGCTGTAGTCCCCAATTAAAGTCAGGTTTCTAGGCAGAGGCACTGGCTTGTGCCAGCAACAGAACCACATGCAATCTCTTTGGCTTCAATGTATGTATTTGGCAGGAAGGGAGGAGGTAATAATTTCAAGTTGAACTGAAAAGTTAGGGAAAG